AATACTCAGCGCCTCGCCCTGAACCCTTGCACCCTAAACCCCCAAAGCCAAAGCCCTGCTTAAAGGATCATGGGACTTAGTAAGTAGGGTTATAATTAGGGTAACTATACTTATAACCCCAATTAAGGGACGTATAACCTTACTTACGAAGTCCCATGATCCTCCAAGTAAACTGTAGACTCCGCAATAGCAGAAGGAGCCTTTTAAACTTTTAGACTTGAAGGAAGCAGACCAAGACCATCTGTCTGCACCACTTCTGAGCCGAACACGGTAGTATAGGGGCCTGAATAAGCAAAAAAGCACTTTGGGGAATGTTACATGTTCACTACATCGTGAATGCAAGGCAATCCTCGCAAGTGCTGAGTAGACTGACATGGCTCGCAGGATACCCCGCGTGATTGCATGGCGACCACGGTGCGTGGAATCCAGTTCTCATGGCCAACTGGAAACCAGAAAAGCGTTCAATAAATCGGTGTGCGGGCAGTAGCAGCTTTGAAAAGAAGAGGAGCCCCGATCCCGATGTTAAACAGCTGCTGATTCCAAGATCCAGGACCCGGGCTAGCCACGAAGCCCTTGATTTCTTTCCGCCCCGAACCCACTCCCAATCCGTGAATCCTCGACCCAATGCCCGAAAGCTTCGATCCAAGTCCTCTCCTAAGCTGCCGGTTTGACTTAAGGGCTGAGTACCCTAGCCCCAAAAAGGTTAACCTGTTGAATTATAGTAGGGTTATAAGAGCCCCAAAAGGTTAAAGGTTACCTACTCAGCCACTAAGTTGAGGAAATCCGGAAGTCGGACACCAAGGGACGCCCACACAGGAAATAGGTGCAGGCCAGCCGACTCCTCAGATCCAGATATGGCTACTTTTCCTCTAACTCAGGGTCCCGTCTAAGGTCCTCAAAGTTTCCATGTCAGAATGAGGTACTTAGAGGATCATGGGACTTAGTAAGAAATGCTATAAGTCCCTTAATTGGGGTTATAAGTATAGTTACCCGAATTATAACCCTACTTACTATGTCCCATGATACTTTAAGTATTGTGGGCCTCAGAAGCGGCCTTACTCGGGCCGAAACGAAGAACAAGGCACTGCAGAAGCCACTGAAGTCTGCAAACATGATACTGAATGCTCATTCCGACATCATGGAACTTGTACCAAGTTGTTGATATGAGATGCTCCTCGACAAGAGCCTAATGTGGCTCAATCAGCTACCTTGATCTTTGCATGAAGGCTTCGTAATAAAAACTTTGTGCAGGAAGCTTTCAACTACACATGTTGCTGTTCTGTGAAAAAGGGACCTTCAAATTCGCCGTGCCATGGACTTGTTCTGAACGATACCGAGAAGATTAGCATGGCTTCGCATGCACAAGACCAGGCCGTTTCAGTGAGTAGATCCCAACAGGTTATGAGCGCCCAAGCTCACCGACGTGAGGGCAATGCGGTGCTGGAAGGTGAGTCGGCAGGTCCCAATTATGGTGCTGTTCATACCAGATCTCAAGGAAATGGTTCCACTCTTCAAGTTGGGGTGGATGGCCCAATGCCTAATGGGGTGAGTTTTGTGAACTCGGGAACGAGTTTACAAACCTCACCAGGTGGCTGTGGTGGCGCGAGTTTTCTTACAGATCAAGGCGTGGACATGGGCACCGGACAGGCCGTACGAACCGGACCGGGCGCGACGAACGTTACGGGTACGAACGCGACCCCTACTACAACGACCAGTGCTGAGAACCCTCACAGACAACAAGTGGTGCATACTCTGCAGCAACCAACCCCGGAGCAACAACAACCAGCGACTATGACTTCGGAGCGATCGCAGCAACAACAACCGGCGACTATGACTTCGGAGAGATCGCAGCAACAACAACCAGCGACTATAACTTCGGAAGGGTCGCAGCAGCAACAACCGGCGACTATGACTTCGGAGAGGCCGCAGAGGCAGCGATCGGCGATTATGACTTCGGAAAGGTTGCAACAGTCAATTCCAGGGCACTTGCAATCTGCTGTACAACAGCTGTCTCAGCAGCGCGCCTCAGTTGTTCAGGCAGTGCAAGCAAGAGCCCAACGAGCTATTCATGGTGTGCCTAGAACTGACGCTTCGTCTTCAGATGAACCAGGAAATCCTTTCGCCCCGACTACCGCTCCTCCACCGCTGAGTCCAGGAATGGTGCAAGCAGGAGAACCTGAAAGGCAAGGTTTGTGGTCGGTAACGAGAATCAGTGAGGTCCTCCATCGAAGGATTGTGGCTCCGATGATGGGGCAACCACCTGGCGGCGCAGTCGAGCAGGCTACCTTGGATGCTAACACTACGCCATGGCAATCCCCTCCGGCTACAACACCAGCCCAGACCCCTTTGATGTCTCCGGAAGTAAGGCAAGCTATGTCAAGTTGGACGGCACAGCCAAGCTTGATTACCAGGCAGCCAGGACAGGGACAAGGGCCAAGGGATGATAGTTCGTCTGCGAGCCTTCCACAGGAGTTGATTTTGGAAGAGGTGAGGAAGCAGGTGCAGCAGGCGATGTCGGATCGGGACGCGGAGGTGAAGGGTCTGAAGGAGCAGAATGAAGAATTGAAGCAGGCTTTGCAATCTTCGGCGCAGCTGCTTAATGAAGTGATGGCGGCTGGGGGATGTGGTGGAGGCGGCTCTCCTTCGTTGCAGGCCTCAAGGGAACCTCCCGGCTTAGAACTAGGAGGCAATCCTCGTGGTGTTGATCGAAGCCTTCAAGCCCCACTAGAGGCTCCTCCTGATCATGATGTCAGTGCTCAGGTACCTGGTGGCAATCCTTGGCTGAGGGGAAGGGCGGAGACCTCGACCCGCGTTGCAGCTGGGGGATCATCAGATCGCCCCGGAGTTCGAGGAGGCAGTCCAATAAGAGAGACGACAGCGAAGACTGGGATTCCTCAATTTGGACCTCTGGAGGACTCGGGAGTGCGAGAGGCCGGCGAGGGGGACCCAAGATCCTCCTTGGAGCTACTGGTTCAAGGAATGCGGCAGCTGCAGCAGGTCTACATGGACAAGAAGAACGCTGGTGAGGCTGAGAACCTCAAGGGCGTCAATGAGTTGGCCCCGCTTCCGGAGCTGACGGGCGACACGGGAGTGGAGTTCAGTGACTGGCTCTATGTGTCGGAGCAGGCCATTGGAGCGATGTCGGACTCAGCATCGTTATGGTTTGAAAGAACTTTGGGGGCAGCCAGGGATGCGTATGCGCGCTACCAGATGGCAAGCCCTCTGGAGAGATTGGCTATCACCCCGAGAGTGGCCCCGGAACTCATGGAGCCAAGGTGGGTGAGGCTGGACCGTAAGGTGATGACCTTAGTCCTGGCGGCAATGCCCAAGATGGTGAAGGAGGACGCCGTGACGCATCGGGTGACCTCAGTGGCTATGGCGCTCTACCGACTGCATGTGTTGTACTCCCCAGGGGGAATGGCTGAGCGCGCGGCTATCTTGAAGCACCTGGAGGGCACCTCGGCTGGAGAGAACATATCGGATGTGGTGGCGGCGCTTCGGAAGTGGAGGCGCTACTTGACGCGCTCGGAGGAGATGCGCTTGACAGCTCCAGACCCTAGCATACTTCTGAAGGGCGTGGAGACGATCATTGGCTCGTGTGTACAACGGCACTCGGAAATGAGCTTCAGGTTGTCACTGGCCAGGAATGAGCTGCAGTTGCAGAACCGCCCCACAACCGAGACGGTGATGAAGTTTTACGACCATGCCCTGGCCGAAATGCAACAGGCGCTACCTGTACGATGGGCGGCAAGACCGAGTGAACAACCGAGAATGAAGGCCCTGGGTGCGGGAACAGGGGAAGCCTCTTCGAGCTCGAGCCCTACAGCCTCTCCGCAACGTGGACAAAAGGGGAATGCAGCTTCAACGCCATGCAAATTCTTTGCCAGTGATTCGGGATGCCGGAGAGGACAGGCGTGTAAGTTCCAGCACGAATTTGCCAGTCGAGATGAAAGGCGAGCTCGGTGTTGGACTTGCGGGTCAAAGCAACACCGGCAATCTGAGTGCCCGGTTCGTGATGCAGCTAAGGCGGCCAAGGACAAGGGCAATGGCGGGAACAATGGACCAAAGGCGGCGGGGCCGTCGGCGGCGTCCCAACGGCTGGAAGCCAAGGCCACCGCTCCTACGCCCTCCACTACGGCTTCTTCTACACTGGCCACCTTGAGCTCTACGGCCAATGCAGAGGGCGGGCAGAACGTGGTCCAGGCCGAGCCCGTGTTGAATGCGTCGGGGGATGCTGTGCAGTCTCCGGAGTTCCAGACGTTCATGCGGGAAGTGAACACTATGCTGCAAAAGATGACCCGTTTGAACATGCTTGAGGTACGACCCCAGCTCAACTCTGAGTTGGCTCAGTTGGATATGCAAATGGCTTCCTTTGATGAGCGCCTGGAACCTATGGCTCTACTGGATTCAGGGGCGACCCACCCGTTTCGTCGACTTCCACCAGTACATGAGGATGGTTTGCATCCCGCGCAGGTCCAGTTAGCGGACGGCAAGGCCATAACCTTACAGCAAAATCGAGCAGGGACCTTGATGCCGTTGAAGGAGGCTGTGGCTCAGGAGGAGGGTGCTACAACTATAGTTCCTTTGGGGACATTAGTCCAGGAGTTGGGATGTACCGTGAACTGGGACCGGAAGGGCTTACATGTGCATCATCCTCGGCACGGAGTTATCTCTACGCACGTGGCGGGCTCCTGCCCATTCATCGGCGAGACCAAGGCGCTGGAGCTAATTGGAGAGATCGAGACCCGAAAGCTCGAACAGCTCAAGCTGAAGACTGTGCAGACTCAACTTATGATGATTGGAGTCGAGGCCGAGCTGGGTTATGATGTTCGAATGAATGAGTACCGGCGTACAGGTTCAAGAACGGAGGGCCTGAAGGCTTTGATGGCAAAGGACTCGGTGTTTGGAGAGCTCTCGGAGGCCCAACGGTGCATGCTGGTGCAGGACATTGACTTGAGTGACGAGGCCGGAAAGCGCTACTTGAAGGCCCTACCTATTCGCCGAGCGATGCGAAGGAGATTGTTGAGCACCAAGTGGTTGGTCAATCTGTGCTCCGGAACCGGGGGCCAAGGGGGCTTCAAGGCTCTCGAGAGTGAGAACATCACCCTGCTGGATGTAGACCTAAAGCTGAGTCGAGCCTTCAACTTGAGGGAGCCAAGCGTTGCTTATCGTGCGCTGCTTTGGGCTGCAATGAGGGGTCAATTGGAGGGCGTTTTCGGGAGTCCACCACGGGGAGAAGGAGCTGGCGAACTTCTTTTGAAGCCTTTGTTTCTATGGTGGTTGGCCAA